TAATTCATGCCCAACGGTAGCATTGACCATCTGATCTATTCGTGGTAGAGGGAAGATATCATTGGGGCAGGCCTTATTCAAGTTGGTGAAGTCGACGCACATTCGCCACTTCCCATTGGCCTTTTTGACCAAAACCACATTGGACAGGAAGTCGGGATAATGGACCTCTCGAATGAAGTCTGTCTTTAACAACTTGGCGACCTCCTCCGTCATGGCGGTGTTGCATGTGGCTTTCATAGTTTGCTTATTCTACCTTACCGGCTTGACCTTAGAGTCGACATGCAACCAATGCACGCGACTGACTGGTCGATGTCGGGCATATCCTCGCGGAACCAGGCAAAAATGTATGCGTTGCTCTTGAGGAAAGCGACCATGCATTCTTTGTCATCGCCTGGCAATGTCGTGCCTACATTAGTGGCTTTTCCATGCCCACGGATGAGGACAGCTTCTGAATGCTCTTTTCCTACTCAACAACCACGCCGATGACGTCTGCATTTGGTTTCTCTTCGAGGGGAGGCTTTTCCACGGGAGAGTCTGGTTCCATCGCCCTAAATATTGATAGCGTATATTGTTCTTGGTTGTTTCATGGTTGTGGCATAACACTCCCGTGAGGCCCGCTGTTGTCCGTCCACTGTTCCCATCCCTTTGGGAGTGGGGAATTTCATCATCTTGTGATAGGTGGATGGGACAACTTTGAAATGATGTATTGCTAGTCTACCTAGTATACCATTGTACGGTGAGAGGTCGTCTACTCCTCAACCTGAGTAATATCCTTTTTCCCTTCCCCCAAGGTCAGGGGTAGCTCGATGCTGCCTTATGGGTAGACTTTTTCACCCGTGAAGCCGATCAGTGGGGATGGGCACTTTTTGAGCTTCGTGGAGTTCCACTTGAGCATGCATAGCACCCTCAGGGGAAGGACGTTGGTCGAGCTCCCTCGATCAACCAATACTTGGTGTGTGGGCACATGGTTGATGCCCACAACGATCATGAGTGCGTCGTTGTGTGGTTGGAGCTGGATGCCAACCTCTCCATTCGTAAAGGTTACCGTCAATCCTGGCTCGGCAGTTTTCGCGGTTAGAACCTCTCGCACTCCTAGTCCGTTGTGGAGTTGTCAAGCCAAGGCTTACCGCTTGTTTCAGGAATGTTCTCTTGTCAAGCCTCCGCTGATGGTGAGGATGGCTGGTGCGCGTTCGTCTTCGTTTAGAGATTTCAACTTCTGTTGTCCCCTACTGTTTTTGTATTTTCATCTACGACGCCCTGGTTCCGAGCCCTCACTTACAAATTCTTTCAGATATCCTCTCTGGACCAGAGATTGAACGTGATCCTTAAGGTCATGGCAGTCGGCAGTGTAACGTCCGTGATCCCAGTGAAATTTACAATACTTGTTTTTGTCCTTCTTAGCTGACTCATTTCTGGAGCGTTCTGACCACTTAAGTAAGTTGTCGACGGGGGTTCTATCGATCTAACCTAGTATCTGGTGTACCAGGATACATGTGAGAGTATATTTCCCATACCTTTGCGGTGGGTCTGCCCTAGTTTCTGGGCGACTTTCGTCGGTCTCTCTTTTTGAGGCTGTCTTTTCTGTTGCCTACCCTTTATCACATCAAGCCGAGTCGTTCATCTTCTTACTAACGAACTAGTCCTCCAGTAGCCCTTCTTCCACTATGTGTCGGTTATTCAGACAGTGAGTACAGCCATGGACTTGACAGTCTACTCACCGAGCAAACGGACGAGCTTTCTTTCTTTGATCCACTATGAGAGCTCCTAGAGGGCTACACTCTCGTTACAGTTAGGTACCTGCAGTCGTTCGTTGGTGAAGCAAGCGACGCACGCATTTGAGCCTTCGCTTGAAATTTTGCTTAACAGATGACAGGTTGGCTTCCGTCCGCCTATTGATGCAAGAATAATGAAAATGGTTGACGAACTTCTGAGCCAAGTCTTGGTAGCTTCCGAACGAGTGTTGAGGGGGGTTCTGGAATCATTGTCGACCTGGTCCTATAAGGATTCTGGAGAAGCCACGACACTGCTTGACATCGTTGTACCCCGTCTAGCGCATGACATCATGGTATGATAAGGCATGGTCCACAAGGTCCATCGATCCATCTTATCTGTCGATGCGAGGCCCTTTGAACCCCTTCGGCAATTCCACAGCCAAGATGCTGGCCATGAATGGTTCTTGGCCAATCTTCGATGGTTCATACTGAGCTGTGGGCCCACCCCCTACTTTAAGCTTGACTCTCACTCGATTGAAGATTTCCTCCTTGACTCGGTTTAGCTCTTTTTGCCCGATCTCGACTTGGGATTCACTTGGCCTGCTTGACGTTTCGGTGTAGTTTGAGAGTCCATGTTGGAGTTGGTCACTCTGCACTTAGGGCGATTTCTCTCGAGCTTATATCAAACGTCTTTTGACCCTTCAGGGAGCCCGAGACACGTTGGGGGACCTCGTTTTCGAGCCTTCCATGGCTCGAGGTCCGAGGCTCTCCATCAGTTGCTCCTTTTTCCACCGCACTTCCATTAGGAATGGGGAAGGTTCCACGGGTTCCGTCGCTCAGGACAACCTTGATTAGCCTCCCCATCTTGGAAGCCATTTGGGCATTAGCTTGCCGCATCTCACTACGAAACCCCGAACTTTTGCTGTAGGGTGCATCACCTTCCGTTTGCCAACATGGCCGATTGGGTGAATGGAGTGGACAGTGTCCCAGGTTCCCCCTGCTTTCTGTGGCGTAGGAGAAGACTGGGCAGGCTTATCAACGGGTTTGTCCACTGATCATCCTCGTCGATGGTATTTTCGTAGGACAACTCCTTGTCGGAAGCCATACCCGTTATGTCTTAGTGCAGAGAACTGGATTTCGTTTTGGCTTGAAAATGTCGCTCCCATAGACGGCACCAACTATTGACGGCGAATTCTAGTTGAGGCCACATGCCCCTCGGATGAGCAACTCGACCGGAAAACGAAGGAACCTGAAACCAAAGAATTCGACGCTGGTGCGGTGTCCCGCCTAGTACACTCAGACGAGCAAGTTAGTAATCGGAATAGGAAAGAGGAAAAAGACATCTTAACTGTGAGTGATAGGTTTTTCACTTACTTGGTCAGGATGAGGGTCTTTCCTTTTATAGCCGCGGGCGGCCGACCAGGAAGGATGACGATTAGAGGAGGTAGGGGCGCAACGCGCTGTACGAACTTTCGACAGCCGCGAGATGACACCACCACCTACAGCTCAGGGGCTTATCTCTTCCAGCTATGGGGCGTGCCCGTCGTACCAGTGACGGACGCCTCTTGCTATGGTTACATACAGTGTGTAACTGTTGGTGGTCCAATATTCCCTCTTATGAGTGGACACGTGTCCTGCTCGACAATACCGGCTTGCAGAGAGTAACCATACGTGGTCTCGTGCTTCTCAAAGGTGGCCACACGTCCTGCTCGGGTTTTTATCCCAACAATATTAAAATTGATTTATCATACACTTCTTGTGGAGAACAATCTTGGAATACCCTGGCCCATATATTAATTGTAGAATATTGTGCACTTACATTTATTCTCATCTTATTAGGTAGAGACGCTAATAAATTCTTTGTTGTGCCAAGCTCTACAAGCTTAGTTGACCAAGTAAACTTGAGAAGGACTTGGTCATGCCATGGGCTGTATGAACTGAGCCAGGATTAAGTAAACCCGGTAAGAACTTGGTTGCCCCAAAGCCCAATAACTCTGATTAGATCAGCAAATGATTTTATACGTATATTTCTTTTGTTGTGCTATCAAATGAAATAAAGTCTGTTTGGGGGTAAAAATACCTTGGACACGTGGATGACGCTTATTGGTGTTCAAGAATTTAAATAACCCAGGTCCACCTCGAACCTGCCGAAGAGGTCGGGTTCGCCCATTGGAAAAAGGCTAAGTATACATGCCGAAGTTCGATCTGATTGGGGTTCGATTTGCTCGGAACCCGACAGGTCCGACATGAGAAAAAACATGTAACCGCAGGTCGTGAGTATTGTCGAATCAACCACCTATAAATAGAGGGCCTCATTTCACGCTCAGGTATCGAATCTCACCTCGAACTAAATACTGAGTCTGACCTATAATGATTTGAGCGTCGGAGAGTTTACCCTCTTGTGCAGGTTCACTCTTGAGTTCAGGTCGAGCCGGGGATCGGGTTCGAGTTTGGTTCATAGAACAGCGTTGTGCAATCCTTTGCATAAACATTTGGCACCGTCTGTCGGAAAGTACAATCTAAGTCATCCTGATCTAAAAGCGTGAACAAAAATGGTTCAGCCAGCAAACTCAACTAACACGGCCAACCGAAGAGCTCTGGCACCCAATGATGGCCACCATAGAGAGGTCGGGGCAGGAGTGATAGAG